ATGCCTGATGGAGTGACCAAAATGAGCTGGCTAAATCGTCGACGTGTTCAATCAGCCAACACACTATATGCCTTCATAACCAAGGTTGTTTTGTATTGCTTGAACTTGAACCTCATCGTTGTCATTGAAAATCCACGTTCGTCGTTATATTGGCGAACATCATTCTTTGCCCCTTTGAGACGGCTATTGCAATACACTGCCCACCAGGCATGTGCATACGGGTCCGAAAGACCTAAGTGGACAGTTTTAGCCCACAACACTCTCTCACTTTCCAGTTTGTCTAAAACATGCCCGGGTCTCAGCCGTACTCACAAGCACAAGCCATGGGGTGTTGTCACGGGCCCAGATCAAACTCGGACATTTTCCACTGCAGAAGAAGCGGCATACCCAATGCAGCTGGCTTATGCCATTGCCTTTGGAATTACCCAGGAACTCATTTCACTTGGCTGGCAGCCTCCTCCTTGGGAGCTGGCCCCTCCTGACACCATCTCCTTCCATTACCTTAGGTCAATCGTTGGAGTCCAACCCAAAGCCAGCAGAATGCCACCACTGCTTTCGGAATTTTCACATGATATGCGTGTCCCCATTCCTGCCGATGGTTGCCCAATTGAAGTTGGCCAAAAGTTGCAATCCGAATGGAACATGGTCCCTGCCGGTGCCAAGTTCTTACGCAGACCTCCCCTCCGGTTAAGTGGGGGTAGTATTGCTTGTGGGGATAAAGGTGTTGGTGGTTCTTTGTCAGATAAGCCCCTTGGTATTCCTGATATGGCTTCTGGTCTTAACCCTAACCATGATAACCCTATGCCCCTAACTCCTGCTCCTAGTCCGCCCAATGTAGCCCCCTTCCAGTCGGATGCTGACCTAAGCAGCCAAAATGGCCCTGGCCAGATTGCTCATTTCCGGGTGTATAGGACTTGTGAACAGTTTGTCAAAGACGCAGTGAGCGCGGGGCACCCAGTTGGTGGAATTTCGAGACTTCCTGATCCGTTGTGGGAAGTGTTGACGCATGTATCTAACACGCCCACTTATGTCTTGGCAAAACAGCGCTTGGCTACTCTCCAATATTGGCTTGATCGTGGTCGTAGCTTAGTTAGTGATGAGGCCGAGCTTCACGCTGGCTTCCCTTCGACCCTTCAAGGGATTCTGGCGCCAAAGAGGTTGCTGCTTTGGAAAGAAATGATGGAGTAATATGAGTACCCAGACTCAGCCGTGTTCCATGAAGTAGTTGGTGGTATTGATCTTGCGGGCCCCGCCCCGGTGGTCCCATTCTTTGATCCTTGTTTCCGGCCGGCAAAGGTATCCATGCCTGAGTTAGCTAGATCTGCACCCGCTGCCAGAGCAGCACTGTTGGCCACGATTGGACCTTCTGGTGATGCGAACATTGACGAAGTTGTGTATGCAAAGACATTGGAAGAGTTGGAGTGTGGTTGGCTGGATGGCCCTTATGTGCAACTGCCTGATGATGCGGTGGTCAGCCGCCGCTTTGGTACAAACCAGTCGTCCGGTGATGGCATGAAGGTGAGACTCATAGATGATTTTTCTGGGTCTGGTGTTAATGACACCGTGCAGGTTGAAAGTGCGGTTAAGTTACATACGTTGGATGTTGCAGCTGCACTATGTATGGAGCTTCTCAAGTTTGATGGTGACCAACAGTGGGTGGGCAAGACAATGGATCTTTCGGCGGCCTATAGGCAGTTGGGAGTGGCGCCTGGATCATGTTGGGTGTCATACATCGCTGTTTATGACCCGGGGGAATGCAGACCTAAGATCTTTGCTATGCGGGCACTCCCCTTCGGAGCAAGCAAATCAGTTTACAGTTTCCTTAGGGTGTCGCACTCGCTTTGGTGGCTCGGTTGTAAGTCGTTAAAGCTTGTATGGAGCAACTTCTTTGACGATTACATCACTTTTTGCAGGGCAGCTGAATCGAATTCCGTGGCCATTGCTGCACTGCAATTCTTCCGCTTGCTAGGGTGGGCGGTTTCATCAGGTGACAAAGACCTCCCGTTCTCAGAGAGATTTAAGGCCCTTGGTGTCGAGATTGACTGTTCAAAGTGGACTTCGGGATGTGTCTCTTTTGCCAACACTGAGAAACGCGTTAAGGAGTTGACTGAAACTATCGATGAGGTCTTGCTCACGAAGCGCCTCACCAAGCAGGGTGCACTTGTCCTACGAGGGAGGATGCAATTTGCAAAAGCCCAGCTGTGGGGAAGAGCTGCTAGATTGTGTTTGAGTGCGGTTACGGCACATGCATACAATGGTTCTGGGGACGGCCTTGGTGACCATACGTTAGCACTCCTAAATGTATTCCGTTGCCACCTTAACACTGCGAGACCTCGTGAAATTACTGCACGGTGAGATGTCCCATATTTCCTGTTCACTGATGCTTCATTTTCTCCAGATGACACAAACTGGCCAGGTGGCATTGGAGGTGTGCTTGTTGATTCGTCTGGTTGCCAGATTTCGGCCTTTTCTTTTGAACTTCGTCCGGAAGACTTTACTGCACTGGGCTACCCCGGTAAGAGCACCGTCATATTCGAGGCTGAGCTCCTGGCGCTCCTAGTTTCCTTTCAATTGTGGAAGAAGCTTCTAAGGAATCACCCTTGCGTTGCTTATATTGATAACAACTCAACCAGAGATGTGTGTATAAGTGGTACTGCCAGGACTTTCCCCGGATCAAGCCTTGTTGCACAGGTCTTAGAGGTAGAGGATGCCCAAGGTATAATCTCATGGTTTGCAAGAGTCCCGTCAGAAAGTAACATTGCTGATGGACCATCACGTGGTTCGACAGACGGCGTAAGTGCTAGTTTCGTATCTCCTCTCCTGGTTGGAGTGACAGTGGCAAAATGTTTGCAGCGGCTCGTCAGACACTCCGGTTAAGATGGGGTGATGAGATGTGACAGCCCTTGGCCAGACATACCGCTCTGGAAATGGAACCTCTGCTATGAAGTGATTCGTTTTTGAATGATGGAGCTCCCACGATGGGAGGAAGTGGCGAAACGTTTTTGTGCTGTGAAATTTTTCCTGATGGCCCGATGAAGGGCGGCCTGATGTAAGGCTGAACTGTTGCACATCCCATCGTTGTGCTTCGAGAGAAAAACATGTGCTGCTGTTTGTGATGCCACACATGTCAGTTGTCACTCTGTGTATTTTAGTTTGTTTTTGTGTTAATTTTTTCTGTTTGGTTTTTGCGCGTGTTTTTGCGCTATGTAGTGAGGAGGTATTGACAACTGGGCGGCGATCGCGTTGATTTAAGCAATCTGTCAACGTGTTGATAGAGCCTTAAATCCAAACGCGTTAGAAAAGTTTCCTGTGAAACTTTTAGCCCTGTTGTCTCCTCCTCGCCTCTCGCGATTGTTTATCCTGTTCGCGTAAAAACCTTTACAGCTTCCTGCTGTTTTTTATGACTCTGTTTTTATGGTGCTTTTCCTTCTTGTGAGTTCTTGTATGTGTGTAAACTCATTTGAGTCAGATGCTTCAACCTGTTGTGCAACGGTGCAGTGAATTGATGTCATACTGGTTCTGGGTTTTTACGTTTGTGCAACATGTCCATTTTGATCTAAAGTGCATTTTTGGTCTCAAGAAAATTTTGAAGTTCCCACCCGTTTTCACTCCCACCCCAAGAGTTCATTTCTCTTTTCAAATTGTTCCGCTGCAGCCGCAGTTCTGACTCATACCATGTTTCAGCAGCATTACCCAGTTCACTACCGAACCGTTGCACACAGCCCCGATAGCCACTGATGTCACCCGAGGCAATCGTTGGGCTCACTGCGGCCATCAGCATTGCGTTCCATTTTCTGGAACCTGTTCACCCCAATATGCAAATTGCGCAAAATCTCCAAGAGGAGCGCTAGCTTGCGTTCGACAAGATCGTCTCGGCCTGTAAGCTGTTGATCGAACAGATTGGACGTCCGAAATTCATGACCAGCGTGTGGCAATTGTGGTCTTAGCTCTCTCAGGCCATGTTTACATTAGAGCGCACCCTGTGGCCAAATCAACCACTGGAAACCCCCTTGCACATCACGCTCCCGCAACATTCGAGACCCTTGTCGGACGTCCTCTTGGATAACTTCGACCAACATGCTACATTTGTCCTTCAGGCAATTGCACCGCTGGAGCAATTTCACCAGTGGTTTATTTCTGAGTATGACATTGTTTTGCACGCGGAGTTCAATGAGATGTTGATTGATTCACTCTTACTATTTCGTACAGTGGAGACCATGTTGAGGATGAAAAGGCGGCTGCAAACTCTTTTGCCGCCGCCTGCGGACACAGCAGCTGCTCCTCCGGCCGAGACCCCAGCCGCGGCCGCATCAGCTGCTTCTACAGCTGCTCCGGCCACAGGCGAGACTGAGATGACCATTACCAACGCCGCTGGCGAAGTCCTTTCTTGGTATTGATGGCCCTGGGTGATGAGATGTGACAGCCCTTGGCCAGACATACCGCTCTGGAAATGGAACCTCTGCTATGAGGTGATTCGTTTTTGAATGATGGAGCTCCCACGATGGGAGGAAGTGGCGAAACGTTTTTGTGCTGTGAAATTTTTCCTGATGGCCCGATGAAGGGCGGCCTGATGTAAGGCTGAACTGTTGCACATCCCATCGTTGTGCTTCGAGAGAAAAACATGTGCTGCTGTTTGTGATGCCACACATGTCAGTTGTCACTCTGTGTATTTTAGTTTGTTTTTGTGTTAATTTTTTCTGTTTGGTTTTTGCGCGTGTTTTTGCGCTATGTAATGAGGAGGTATTGACAACTGGGCGGCGATCGCGTTGATTTAAAAAATTGGATTTTATTTCTCACCTGAAGAACATGTCAGACTGGCGCTGCGGTTGCAGCATCCTGCATCTCAATTTGAACTGGTGCCTGATGGGTTACGGTACAACATTTTTCTTTTGTGCACTGAAGGTTTGCATGCTCTGGCGCAGAGAAGAACATCTTATTTGACTTACATGCTGGACACCAAGAGAGCGCTGGCTGGTCACGAAACTGAACTACGAAAAACCATGCCTGATCACGTGGACAAAGTCACGCAAGGTAAACCTTTGTGCCTTTTCAGAAAGCTTTTGGAAGAAGCTAACTTTCCTGATATGGAGGTTTGCAACATCATGGAGAATGGAGTTCCACTGACCGGGGAAGAACCGGCATCCCAACTTTATTTCAGAAAGTACAAGCCTGCCATGCTGACCCCTCAACAACTGGACCACCAAGCTGCGTGGCGCCGAAAAGCCATGATGGGTAAGGGGATGACAGACGACGAGCGTTTGCAGGCTCATGATCTGGAGACGGAGAGCCAAGCTGAAGTAGAAGCTGGGTTCCTTTCTGGACCCTATTCTCAACAGGATGTTTCTGAGCTGCTGGGGTCTGAACAATGGAGCCTTTCCAAGAGGTTTGCTTTATACCAAGGAGAAGAGCGTAAAATTCGAATTATTGACAACTACCGAGACAGCGGTGTGAATGCTGCCTTCTCCTCTACATCATACCTTGCGCTGCATGACACTGATTTTGTGATTGGCTTCCTGAGGTTTTTCATGTGGGTTGCTGGCAACAGTACAGAGGTGGTAGTACCCATGTCAGATGGGACTGTCTTGCGAGGCCGATGGCACAAGTCTTTGGGGTCCAAACCCATGCTCCTTGGCCGCTGTGTTGACCTCTCAAAGGCCTACAAGCAAGTAGCGGTGGCCACTGAATCTCCCAAGCATGGAGTACTGGGTTACAGGACCGAGAATGGTGACTGGCAGCTTTTTACGACCCAGTCGTTACCCTTTGGAGCCAGTGCTTCAATTTTTGCATTCAACAAGGTATCAAGGGCCATTTGGCATTTGCTGGTACACGGTTTGCACATTCTCACTTGCGTCTTCTATGACGACTTCCCCTGCTCGGAAGGCGAGCCTCTGACGGCCTTGACGGCGAAGGCGCTGGACACATTCTTCAACATACTTGGATGGAAACATGCAGTTCAAAGTAAGAAGGCTACAGACTTCTCCCTGGAGATGCAGGCCTTGGGAATACAGTACAACCTTCGTGAGCTTTGGGAAGGGAAGCTGACTGTGCAGAACAGGCCGGGCCGACGAGACCGAATTAGGTCCCTCACTGCAGAACTTAGAGAACTTGGAAGTGGGTCGCGGTCTGCTGCAGCTTCTTTGGCAGGAATCCTTAACTTTTGCGGCGGGTTTGTACTTGGCCATGCACTGAAGCCCGCCACCCATGCTCTGTCGAGGTGGTCGATGGGTGACAACCTATCAAAAGCAGCGACCCATGAGATGTGCGACTTGATTGAGTTTTTAGTAGACGCTTCGAAACCAAGACTGATCACCATGGACCGGGATTTGCCACCCATTATTGTTTACACTGACGGCGCCTTTGAAGCGCGTGATGGTTCATGGGGGGCGCTAGTGATTGACCCAGCGACAGGCTCTCAAGAAGTCTATGGTGGCTGGGTACCGAAGGTACTACTTGAATTTTGGTTGAACACCGTTGGAGATCAGATTATTTGTGAAGTTGAAATGTATGCCTATTTGTGTGTCAGGTGGGCTTGCAGGCGTAGTTGGACAGCAAGCTGTGGCATTTGCTTCATTGACAACGAGGCGTGCAGACTTGGCCTCATTAAACGCAGCAGCCCTTCGACAGCCATGTTTTTACTTTTGTGTGCAGTATCAATAATCGACACGGAGACTCCTTTTGCTGCTTGGATGGAACGAGTTCCGTCTCCGTCGAACCCTGCTGATCTTCCTTCGAGGCAGAAGGCAACTGAATTGTGTCAACTCTTGAATGCGGCCAACCAAGGGCCAATTGAATTGCCTGCAGGGCTTTTGAGTTTCTTGATGCAGAACCGTTTTAACCCGGAACTTGCAGAAGTGGTGCGCTTTGAAGCTGAGGTCAGTTAAGTTGGCTGAAAGGCCAGGGGAAAGAACGAGCCAACTTGACAAATTCGTTGGAAACAATTTTCTGGGTGCCAGACAAGCACCTTTGTGAAACTCTTTACAATTCCACGTGATGTGTGTGGAAGTGAAAACTTGAGCACTGATCGAATGATGCTCCAATCGACGTTCACCCCCGACGCCAATAAGTCAACATGGCCAAAAAGGAAATAATATCAAATGCTGAGAAGCCGTCGTTTGTGCACCACTTTTGACAGCCGAGTGATTTTTTTAAATAATAATGAAGTGACGTGAGGAGTATGACTCCTCAACTGAAGCGGTTCGTGCGATGTGCGTTTTCGAATTGCGGCCACGTACTCCTTTTTATGATGACGGAATGTTTTAACATTTTTGTTTTTGGCACAACACGCGCAGGGTTGTAAAACGTTAGGGTTCTGCTTGCAGATCCCGCTGTTTTTGTAGCCCTGGTGAAGCTTGCGTAACGCACGCGTGTTGTTGCGCTGATTGCGTGGCTTGCGTTGTGCTCTGATCTTTATTTTGTGTGGCAGGAATTGTTTTGTCAGAATATTTGTCAGGCCCCTGCGTCGCGCTAACCTGTCTGAATATATATCTGACTTTGAACTTCGAACTGACTTGAAACTTTTAAACTGAAACTGTTGCAAACAAAATGTTGGCACCAAGGTTTCACAAACTTTTAACTGAACTGTTTGAACTGATGGATGTTCAAATGATCGACTGTTTGAACCTATCTTAGGACCTATCTTAATTATACCACTCTGGGTTGAACTTGAAGTTTTTGAATCTTGGGAATGTGGTAACATTTTGGTCTCAAGGATTTTCACAAATCCAAAGGTGATTTTGTTCACCCACCCAATAACCCACCCCCTTAGGGGGAAAGAACGAGCCAACTTGACAAATTCGTTGGAAACAATTTTCTGGGTGCCAGACAAGCACCTTTGTGAAACTCTTTGCAATTCCACGTGATGTGTGTGGAAGTGAAAACTTGAGCACTGATCGAATGATGCGCCAATCGACGTTCACCCCCGACGCCAATAAGTCAACATGGCCAAAAAGGAAATAATATCAAATGCTGAGAAGCCGTCGTTTGTGCACCACTTTTGACAGCCGAGTGAATTATTTTTTAAAAAATAATAATATATATATATATGTATGATCGTGCTAATGTATTCCATGTAACTCCCCAAATGAAACCGTGCCGCGGAATCGAGGGGATGGGATGCCTTGCCCATCTCTCTGAGGCCATGATTTTGAAACCCGACGGCAAGGCTGGAGCGATCTCGGACTCTTGTTCTCAGCTATCGGTGTTTTAGCTTAAAGGTTGGTGAAAATTCCGTTGTGGTTCTGAGATTTTTCGGAGAGTTTTCAATGAGCATCCCAAATTGAATGTGATTTCATGAAATTTCACCACCTAACATTTCCCATTTGTAGGAATTTCGTCTCCCATCCGATGAAACTCCCCAAGTCTCGGCCTTTTACAGTGCTGGTGTTGGAGGCGAAAAAGGCGAAGAAGCCAAAAGGTCGCAAGAAGAAGGTGCCAAGGGGTCAACGGACTGCTGAATCGTGAGTCCAAAAAGGTGAGTCTGATGTGTTGCTTCGCTATTTTTCATGGAGCTCCGAAATCCAAAGTTCGTTTTCTCAAAAGGCGATCAAGCTCAGACTTCGAAGTATTCCAGTTCCAGTAACCAGCAACCTGAGCTAATCATGTAACCAGCAACCTGTCGTGTTTCCAGTTCCGTGTTTCTTCAACTTGTGAGGCTTTTCTGGCTGAGGACCCCGAGGCCGGAGTCATCGCGGCCAAGTGGCGTCGAATGCCACTTTTACAGGAACGATCCTTTTGTGTCGAACCCCCCCCTTTGCGGAACTCTATTTGTATTATATTATATGATTTAAATATATATATTTGGATGAAGCAGGTGTCTCTGCGGAAACGCAGAAGAAAGTGTATGAACAAGGAAGGAATTGTATCCTTGAGGACGTTTGCAGGCTTGGAAGAAGATCGCAAGGCTGTCCGCACAGTGTTGCAGTCAGACTTTGGTTTGGATCCAGCGGGAAATCTGGCTCTTCGCTCAGATGTTGCATTGTTGCTGTGCGTATGGGAAAGCGCACGTACCCAGTTGTCTGTGCAAGAGAAGAATCGCCAAGAATCCAAGCTGGGCATGCAACAGCGCATTGTGCAGCCGTCGGATTATGCAACCATGCGCAGCGCTGTGGAAGCCAAGCATGGCAGACTGAAGGATCGTGAGGCCCCAAGCAAAGGCATGATAGCCTCCAAACTTGAGCAAGTGGAAGATGGGGCACCCATTGCCGAGGATCTCCGCGAAGTGACGTCTTTTGCAGATTCAGAAGTCGAGGCCTACAACGCGATCATCGATCCGTCGATGGGATTCTTGCGGATTCGTCCAGGCAAGACGACCACGACACCGCCAAGCACACCGGAAGAATTGCAGCTCCGCCACAGGCGCGTTGGGCTAGCCTGGGATTTTGTGAAAGCGCGTCACACCACACGCGCTTGGTTGCCTACATCATCGGTCGACACGTTCCGGAAATTGTCCGATTATGTTTTGGGTGCATCAGTCGCTGGTCTGCGCGCGGCCGACCAGCGAAGTCCCACGTGGTCTCTGGTCCCCACTTATGAGCTGGAATTGCGAAAGGCCGCTTATCGGTTTGTTTTCCCCTGCCAGCGGAAGCCCAGCACATGAAAAGGGCTTTGGAAAGGGCAAACAGATGCCGTCCTGGGACAGGCAATGGGGCAAATCCTCTAAGACGCCTGAAGGCAAGCCGATTTGTTTCAAGTTCCAGAAAGGGAGGTGCTCCGACAAGGCTTGTCGATTTGCACATGCGTGCCAGCGTTGCTTCGGTCGCCATCCCTTCACGCAGTGCCGTTTCAAGAAGGAGGCTGGAAACGGGCGGGTGCCTGAGGAGGCGGCTTCTTGACTATCTGTGGATATGGCAGCGACGCCCCATGCGGCGCCTATGGTGGGGGTTCAGAGTGCGCGCTTGGGGCATGACAAGCGTAGCCGTGAGCTGGATGAGGACAAGGTCGAAGATTGGGCTGGGAGCGAACAGGTGAGCTTGCATGGCAAAAATGTGAGGTGGAGTGTCAGGAAATTAGCTCAGACGAAGACATTGACAAGGTTGCGAAGCCAAAGAAGGGTGCGGGCCTATGGGGTGATGGACCGCCGCTTGCTTCAAGACTGTTGGGAAAGAGGCAGGAGTTTGCAGATGGATTTGGCTTGTGTTCTCCAGGTCGTTGGGAGCCTCACAAACGACAGTGTGCCGCTAGCATGCCATGCTTAGGTTTTGCAGAGCAGATTGGTGTTGAATTGCTGAAAATTTTGCGGAGTCATTTAGACATGCGTGCTCTGGCGATGAAGCTCGTGTGCAATCTACGCCCTTTTCTGATGAGCTGATTAGTGCAGGTCGAGAGCTGCTTTTCACAGCATTAGAATTTGCAGGTTCTAAATTGCCGGTGCGCGAGAGGCAGGGGGGGCAACCCCTTTTCCTAGCGGCCATTGAAGAGTTCTTGCGAATTTCGGGCGACCCCGACAGCAGAGCGTTCTACACATCAAGCAACTCCTTTGCTAAAGGAGTGCGCGTGGGGCCAAATGCCAAACTGCCTCGCGTTCCTGCTGTATTTGAGAAGAAGATTAAGTGGAGACAATACAAAGAAGAAGAGAGCAGCCTAGACATGGAGAGAGATAACTATTTGTCAGCCCGTGATCATGCTCGCCTCGTTCAGAAGCAATTTGAAACTGAAGCTGCTATGGGTTGCATGATTGAGATGCCTTTGAGTGAAGCAAAGCAAAAATTTGGGGATCGGCTGGCCCTAGCGTCCTTAGGAGCGATAGGGAAGAAGGATGGATCGGTCCGTGTGATCCATGACGGGACACATGGCGTTGGAGTGAATCCAGCCATTGTGGTCCGGGATCAGCTCCGCACACCAACTGCCGGTGATCTGCAAACTGTGTTGCAAGTACTACCAGGTGCGTGGTTTGGCTTGACAGGTGATGTGGCGCGAGCGCATCGGTTGGTGCGAGTTGCTGAAGAAGACTGGGGATTACAGGCGTGTAAGACAGACGTGCGCCCAGATCATATTTGGATTAATACTGTCGGAACATTCGGCATTGGGAGCGCGGCATACCATTGGAGTAGGCTCATGTCTGGGGTGGGTAGAGCTGCGTACTACCTGCTGGGGAAGAGCGAGCTATTCATTCTTGTTTACGTTGACGATTTACTTTGGATCACGCGCGATAAAGTTGGAATTGAGAAGATTATCTTGACCATTTACTTCATGACCATTGTTGGCTTGCCGTTTGCATGGAAGAAGTTTCAAGGAGGTGTGGACCTGGCCTGGGTTGGTTTCGAGTTATGCTTGAAAGGAAGTAAGCTCGGCTTGTCGTTGGCGCGATCGCAATGGTTGGTTAAGTGGCGCAGTGACACAGCAGATTTGGGTCGAGTGCGTATTGCGGATATGTCTGCAGTATTGGGCCGTCTTTCTTTTGGCTTGACTGCGCTGGGACACTTGAGGCCGTTTTTGGGGCCAGTGTACGCATGGACGGCAGCAATGACGCGAAAGGTTATCACAGGTAACCTGCCCAAGGCGATCATCTTGATCTTTAAGTTCCTGGCAAAGGCATTAGCAGACGGTGGGCGCCTGGCATCTGTGCCACCAGCCCCGGGAGACCAGGTGGAACTGTTTCGGACAGATACCCGCGCAGAAGGAAATGAGATTTGGATTGGCGGCTGGGCTATGGATAGCACGGACACAAAACGCTGTAGATGGTTTTCTGAAAAATTGGATCACGTATCTACGCCTTGGCTTTTTACTGCAGGTGAAAACTACAGACAGATTGCTTCGCTTGAGCTGCTAGCCTCGTTAGCTGCGGTTGTCGTCTTCGGGGTGCCAGTGCCAATGCGGGGCAGAATCCATTGTTCGGCTGGGACCGACAACAAAGGAAATAGCCATGTGGTTGCAAGGTTGCTCACAACCAGATTCCCCCTTGCTGCGTTTTTGATGGAGCTGGCTATGCAGTTGCAAATGGTTGGCGCGAACCTCGAGTTGTACTGGCTGCCGCGGCTTCAAAACCAGGAAACTGATGCGCTCACAAACAACGATCTGACTAGATTTGATGAGCAGCTGCGGCAAAGGTTTGACTTGGCCTCATTCAAAGGACTGGTCTTGTCAGACATGCTAGCTTGCGGAACAGAGCTGTATGAAGAGATTAAGGTGGCGCGACAGCGAAAAGCAGTACAACATGCGCAACGTGGACGAAAGTCGGACGCGCTTAAAGTGGCGCAGCCCTGGGGTTGAAAAAAGGGTGCATGGGGGGCGTGCAGGATGGTAGCCACGTCGCATGCTTTTCAAGTTGGGATTTAAGTTGTCAGCGGCGTGGCTGATAGAAGACGTTTGACCGTGGTAGGCGGTTGTTGTTTCATGCTGCATGGATTTTGAGAATTTCTTGGGTGCAGTGTGTTTTTCCACCACACCGTAGGAAGAAAAGTTAGTGCGGACTCGATTGCGGTTCTGCAGGGTTTAATGGAAGAGTGAGCCAGCTGATGCATGGCAATTAAAATTTGGTTTTGCCTGTTGTGGGGACTGGAGTGGATTTTGGGTGTGAACCTCTTACTGTACAGTTGTGTTTGAACTTCAGCAGAGTTAATAGGACCACAGTAAGGTAGGATCTCGGGAACCTCTGTCTGGAATGTTGTGTTTAAACTTTGGCTGGTTGATGGGACCAATGTGCGGCAGGATCCCTGATGTTGCTTCATAGTTTTTCATCTATACTTGCTGGATCGATTGAGAATATCTTTTATTTTTTTGGGGGCCTTCCTGTGAATTGATGACTGGAAAATCAACCAGCAAAGTGGATGATCTACCTGATGAAGATCACTGATGTTTCAACAAACCAGAATCCCTGAGTGATGGGTTTGTTCATTTGAAGGTCGCGCAAAAACAGGGGATATTGTTGGGGAAAGAAAAGTACTTTTTTGGTGGCCGGGACTGCTCCCTTGCCCTTCTCCCTGTGATCGATAATATAATGACCACTTGGGGATGGGCTGCAAGATTTTTTTGGGGGTGAGAAACATCACCATTTACGCACTGATGTTCACTGCAGCAAGATCTTGATCGGCAAGATGATGACCATCTAATCTAGACGATCTAGACGACTTTGTTCGCCCAGACTCAGCCAGCTCCAAGGCTATGAACATCTTGCTTGGTCCTTTGTTTGATGTAGCTGGCTATGTCTTTGCGGCGGCTGCTGTCCTTGCACCATTTTCGGGTTTTAATATTGTCACTAGGCTTGAAAAAAGCAAACGGGAAGAGTTTTTCGGAAACAAACGTGGAGAACTGCCTAGGAATCATAACGTTTTTTCGGCTAGAATTATTCGATATCATGTCTTGTCACCGACAAGCATGCTGAATTTTCCACCACTGAAACAAAGTAATTAACACAAATGATTATCTGATGATGTTTTTTCAGTTTTTTAATGTTTTTCCCACTATCCGAGGATTTTTCTGTAGCATAAGGTCATGACATGTTTCTATGTTCCATCTTCCAAATGGGAGGAAATCCAATTGCCAATCAACTGATTCTTGGGTGCCAAGGGTGCGAAGCAATCGTGCCAGTGCAGGTGATCAATGCGGTCATCGCTCCCTTCACCTTAGGTGAGAAGCTCACGAGCCGCAGGACCCGGGCTTTTGAACTGGCAAAGGGTCCACATGGGTTTAAAGGCAACATGTTTGGTAGAGGAATACCACTTAAATCAACTTAAGACCGTCTCTCCCTGCCAACAACATGGATGTTGCCAGATGATACCGACTAACCTAGGATTGGTAAACCACTCGTTTATTCACAGGGGGGTTATCTTCAACTTGTTTCCTCATTCTTTGCTCTGCAAAGTCGCACTCATGCTGAACCCCTGCAGGTTGATTGCATCCACCATCATCTTTGTGACGGCAACCGCCTCTATTCTCTTCAAAAATCGCAATCAAGATCAAGAGGTCTGGACCTTGGAACGTGCTGAAACTATTCTCTTGCGATGGAGCGTCTTGGTCTACGGCTTGGTCTTTGCTCTGTGGTTCTGTCTGAATTTGTGGCTTCTCAGACGTTCGGAGAAAGGTTCGGTGCTACGAGGATTCTCGTTGGGAGCCACTGCAGGCTCCATGGCAGGGAACATGTGGTGCATGCGCGTGGCAGCTGTTTTCGCAGCTGACTGCGCTTCTGCACACGTTTGCAGCGCCTGGGGGCACTGGCTCCCATGGATTGTTTTGACTGGAGCGGTGTTTTTCGCGGTGGTTAACGTGCCTTACCAGGCGAAGGGGATGCAGAACTATGAATCCCTGTATATTGTGACGATGATCCAGGGGTCTAACATTGTCTCGAACAGCCTCAGTGCACTCATCATCTTGCAGGAGATGGACGGAGCACCTTGGTGGAAACTGCTGGGCTACATCGGGTGCATTGTGGTCATGATTGGGGCCCTTTGGTTCTTAGTCTCAGGGGAAGAAGCCGTTTGTCCCAGCAACGAACTGGATGACGATCTGCAACGCATGCTGTCCATGGAAGAAGGGGAAGGAGGCAGTGAACTTGAAAGCAGTGAATCGGAAGACGAACAAGGCCTAATGGATTTTGTCCGCGCAATGTCGCTGAACCAATGCTCACCAGTGGCATTTTCTTCATCGTCATCGAATGCAGAAGATTCACAAGATGGAGAAGTATCGCAAAACGGAGAGGAAGAACTACATGAAGAGTCTGACAATGCTATTGCTATTGACTGAAACTGAGGAAACTGCTCCACTGGCAGATCAAGGGGCAAAATTTCCCCTATGCCTCAAATTTTCGTTCATTTGACATGCTTGAAATTCAATGTAAAATGCCGACCTGTAGGGCATTAGTGTTCTAGAAGATGACTTCACACTGATGCAATTACTAAAAAAAAGAATGTGCAGGTTGCAGGGCGGGAGACTGGGACCAGTCAAAGGCGCCTTCAGCAAGAAACCTGTTTGGACATGCTTGAACTTGAACCATTTGTTTTTGTGTTTGTTCACATGTCCGTCATATCCAATGGTAAGTTTGGAACCTACAAGGGAATTTAAGCCAAATTTAAGCAACACGAGGGTAATTCATTTGGTTTCAAAAATGTTTCAAATATATGTCGTCCCATGTCTTTCCACTAAACAACACACCATCCACGAGTCCAAATTGGTAAAATTTGAAAGGAAATCCCAGGTTTGCACAGGTCCAAGGGAGCACTTTTGACTTTTCAGTTGCACACAAAGTCCAGGTAGAAATGGACGTGCTCAAGGCTTCAAAACTCAAACAACTCACATAAAAACCTGGTCCCCTTGGGGATACTATGCTTTCACGGGTCTAAAGATTTGGGATGTCAAAGGAGCATGGGTCCGGAAATTTATATATAACACGTTGGCATGTACCCCCCAATATATTATGGATATATGATATGTGGCTAATTTAATCCGGAAAATCATGATACGCGAATAAGCCACTGGATTTTGAGGTAACCCCTGTCCCCTAATTAAAAAATACCAGTTATCCTCGGTTTAGTTCTGGCCCTATTCACTTTGGAGGCCACATAAAGGGATATTGAGCCACGAGCCAGAGGGTTATGGAGTTTAGTTAGAGAAAACCAACCCTTCTGCAAACTGACATATGGAATGCCCAGAAGATGTTAGAAACAGATTTTCTGTGATGATGATGATGATGATGATGATCATCATCATCATCATCATTGTTGAAATCAAGTGTACAACTTCCCTGTTTGTACTCTCAGCAGCTGTAGCCCACGCGCTGTACTTTTCACTGTAGCGCTCGAGTAACGCTAGCTCAAGGGCCCTGTATGGAGCCCAAATGTATCGTACCATGACATGTACTCAAAGTGGACCAACATGTTGTATCAGCAACTGTATAGCTCATGTACATGTGCAGGTGTATTCTTAACACCCTGCCTCAACTGCAACATGTACTTCACAAACATTGAAAGAATCATTGTATAACTGAACTGTATTAAATCATGTAAGACATCAGTCATCTGTACAAAACTTTGCCTTCGAAAATCCTGTACATCGATCGAAAACGTAGTGCCGTGTTGATGTACAGACATCTTGTAGCCAGAATTGTGTCAGATGGATGTATCCATGCAGAGTTACTCACATGTAGTCAGAAACCGTTGTAAGAAAACTGTAGCAGTATCCAACCATGTACTTCACAAATTCAGCCTTGTAGAGCTCGTCACCATTGTAGGTCAGGATGTACCCAAGGCGGTCTCGGGTGTAGCTCCTGGCAGTGTAGCTGGAGCTGTAGATCCTGAAATCTTGGCTTGTAGCTTGTCCCTTGTATCTTGTGAACCAAGATTTTCATTCTCATCAAAGTTCTCCTTCACGTGTATGGTGAACTGAGCTGTGTACTGCAGCAATCCATGCTGTACATCAGCGGGCATGTATCTGGACAATGCCGTGCCTGCATGATGTAATGCCATAGTCAAAGCTGCATGTACTGGGTCAGCCGCTGGTCTGCCCAAAACATGTTGTACATCCAAGGGAATGTACTGGTTCCACACATAGCCACGGGTGTAGCTGTACTGCTGTAGGATCCTCATCCAATCCACAGTGATGCGTAGCACCCTTTGTGAGCCATGTTCTGTAGCGTTAAAAATGTATCGCTGCAAAACTTGTACTGCAAAAAGAACTGAAGTGAAAACCATCATGTAACCCTTGGGGTGAATGATGTAGTGAAAGATGAGGTGATCATGTACGTGCCAAACTGTATCACAATGACCATGTACCCCTTAAGGTAAACATACGTGTACATGATATACTCAATCAAGTAGGCTGCAGATACGTGTACACTTGTTGTGTTCGTATGCTGGTGTGTGAAACTGCTGTAGCTGGATTCTCCTCAATTGTCTGGCGGACGTATGCCCGCAGCATGTAAGTGCCATTGAAGCACTTCTCGTTGCACGTATTTTGTAAGTATGTCTGACGGATTGTGTTTGGTGTTGATTTTGTGTATGGAAAGGATGCCGTCGTGAATGAGGTGTTGTATGAACATGTATTTGAGTTCGATGTGTTTGGCTCGCTTGGACACGCCAATGCGTGTAGCCATGCTTTTGCCTGATGTGCTGTCAGTGTGTATTTTGAGGCTGATCTTGTTGTGTAGGATCTCTCCCAAGAAGTTCTTGAGGTGCAATGCCTCTGTAGCACCTGTACCAATCGCGTAGAACTCGCTTTCTGCTGAAGAAAGTGCTACTACGGATTGTGTACGTGAACCAAAGTGAACTGTAGTCCCAAGGAATTGGATCACGAAGCCAGATGTACTTTTGCGTGTAACCTGGCATCCTGCCCAGTCTGCATCTGTGTAGACTGTCAGGTCGAGCTGTTCCTTGTTGTTGGGCTGTAGAAACACCGTTGGTTGTATCACGAACTTGTGGTGCTTTGTACCTGCTAGGTACCTGAGGCAATGTCGTAGCCGCTGTCTGTCGCGGACTGTTGGTTGTCGTAAAGAACGCGCTAGTTCTTTTACTGCAAAGCTCATGTCTGGTCGTGTGTATGAAAGCCATTGCAGCTTTCCGACCATACGCCTGTAGTGGGCGTGCTCTTCTGTGTCAAGGAGTTCATCCTGTTCTGTTCTAGGTGTAGTGCTGTTGGAACCTGTAGTGACGGCTGCTGTTGCATTTTGTAGGTTTGCTTCTTGTAGGATGTTGTCGATGTAACTGTTTCCCAAAGAGACTTCAAAGTGATCTCCTTTGTTTGTAATCTTCCTTCCAAGGAAGTCAATTGTGTTGTTTGTTGTGCAGGTGCCTGTATGGCGAAGCAACATCTTGGCCTGTATCTCCTTGAAAATTCGAGCGACCTCATCAGGTTCTCCTGTAAAGAGAAGATCGTCAACATAGACCATGATGTAAACTTTGCCATTGGTGTAGACATTGGGCTCTGATTGTAGTCTTTTTAGACCGAGGTCTGTAAGCACTTTTGCTAAGTGCTCCTGCCATGCTTTCGGGCTGCTTCGTAGACCATACATTGCTTTGTGTAGCCTCCAGAGGATGTTTGGATTGGTGTAGTACTCCTTTGGTGGTCTGAGTACCAGGCCTGCTGTTGCTGCGAGTGCGTGTAAGAAAGCGGTAGATATGTCACCTACCTGTACAATCCATCCTCTGGCCATGCTGAGTGCTAGGAGTATCCTTAGCACTGCAAAGAGTGGTGTACTTGCGTACACATCATCTTGGTCTTCGATGTGTTCGGTGTACCCTTTTGCTACGATCCTTGCTCGTACTTCATCTCCTTTGGATCTGTAGACCCATCTTGACTCGATGATGTTGTCGAGATCAAGTTCTTGTCTTTGTTGAGGTGTAAGCTTTGTAACATCTACCTCCTCGTACACTCCTTGTGTTCTCATGGATTCCATCTCCTTTTGCATTCCTTGCTTCAACTTCTCTGTATCGAATCCTTCATTGTTGTAGATGTGAGGCTCGAGTAGCCTCTGTTCTGCTCGTACCTCCTGTGGATCTTCACTTGTTGCTGTTGTAATCTTCTTGCCACTCTTCAATGCAACTGTAACTGCATTGATTCTCAATCTTGGTCTTGTACTGTCTCTTTCCTTTGTCTCTTCTGGTCTCACTGGTGCTTGCTGTGTTGTACTTTGCTTTCTGCTCTTGCTTGCACTTCCTTCATGTACTTGGTCGTCCACTGGTCTGGTTGGTGAGCCTGTTGGCATTGGTGATGTTCCCAACCTCATTGCTGTAGAGTGTGTTGACGTTGATGCTGAAGCTGTGCTTTGCTGTTGTTCTTCGACTCTTTGTTTCTTTGTTGTCTCTGTTCTTGCTTTCTTTGCTTCTGTTTCTACTTCCTTTGTGTTGGTAGCATGCTTTGCTGCTGTTGTTAGTTGATTGCCTGTATTCGTTTCTTCGTGTGATGTTTGCCCTGCCTGGACTTGTTGCTCTGTTGATGCTGGTGTTGGTGGTAGTATGAAAGCTGGCTGGAATCCAATTGGTGGTGTAGGATTCCATGGTGTGCCAGTGATTGTGTCCATCAATTGAGCATCGTACCTGTTTGTACCTGCTAGTCGTCTGATTGTACGTGAGCGTACAATTCTGCCTGCAATGCCAATGAAGGACTCTCCAGTGGATGTACATTTGCCGAGCCAAATGCCTTTGTAGAACCTGGGTTCAAGCTTTGGTCGTTGTTTGATCGACTGTACCATGTACATCACAGTCTCTCCAAATTCACAGAGAGCTGCATTGTGTGTTCGTCCCCATCTTTTGTGATAGCTGGTGTAGCCACCTGCTCTGATGAGGAATCTGTTGATCAGGTATGCTGTGTGTCGTACTGCCCAAGCCATGATTGGGTGTGTTGTCGGCAGTCTTGTGTTGTAGTTCTGCTGTACCTGTGTCCTGAGTGTCCTGATGTGGCCAGCAAGTGTACGGTGGAATCTTTCGATGCTGCCACTGCTTTGTGAGCTGTATGCTGGTGCAAAACGCACTGTCATGTTGCCTGTTGCTTTAGCTGTAGCTCTAAGGAGCGCCATCAGGTATTCTTCTTGGTCACTTTGTAGTATGCCTTCTGCTCTTCCACATTCAAGAATGAATGCTTGTAGACATGCCTGTGCATAGGCAAACTGTCCTTTCTTGTCCGTAAGCATTTGTTGCCATTGCCATGCCGGTCTGTATGTCTATGGCTGTCAGGATTGGTACCGGCCATTTGTCTTCATAGGTCTTGATGTAGGTGAAATCAACTTGTATGACTGGCTGTTTCGATGTTTGCTGTTGGTGGCTTGTCTGTCTGCCGCGAGATTGTATGCACACAGGACACCAACTCCTGTATGGCATGTGTGTAAGGTTGTGCTGTTGTATCTCCTGCGGTGTAGGTTGTACCGGTTGCATCATTGCTTTCGCTTTGTTTGCGCTCTGTTGTTCATCTTC